CGCTGCCCCGGCCCGAAGCCTCGGAGCAGAGCGTCGGAGGCGCTGCGTGAGCGACGCACCGTCCTTGCCAGCAAAGCCTCGTTGAGGAGTGCGTTTCGCTCTCGAGACCCCCAAAAAACTCTTAGCAAGACTTCTGGTTTATTTTTCACGTATGCTTTTTTTTAGCAAGACTCGTGGGGAAGGTACAAACCCTGAAATCGCCTGTGGGAGCGAAGGGGTCGAGTCCGGGGCCCTGCCGGGAGGAGGAAGAGGGCAGGGAGACACTGGGGGGGACAGCAGAGGGCCGGGGCAGGAGCCAAACCCAGGCTGTCAGCATTAGAAACCAGTCAGGGATGTGTCAGGGCCGGGAAATGAGATGGAGTGATTCCCCCGAGCATCTCTGCTTTCTGAAGAAACACTGGACGCTTTGGTGCGGGCTCAAAGATGAGGCAGAAGATGACTTCCTTTGTCTCTTTCTAGTCTTTTTTTTAAGATGGGGGGTTTGTTTTGTTTTTCTCTCTAAGTGACAGCGTACCTAGGGAGCTTGTGAGCCTGCTCTCCTGGATAAGACAGGAAGTGGCAACTAGGTGTAAATTATATTAATGGACCTTTTATTGGACAGATGCAATATCATTGGACTATGGCATGGGACAGAGGAAGTAACGGAGGCAAACGCTGCCCAGTCACCAGAGAGAACAAATCAAATCAGGGTTTCACAGCGTGATAAGCCCTTATTTGCTCAGAGAAAATGGCAAGTGCTTTTGGTCTTTGCGCCAGAGGCTGGGAAGAGCCACTTGGTCGTCGGCCTCCCCTATGGGCAGGGGGCTGCTGGCCCGGATGCAGGTACTTGGATGGAAACTGCTTCTCAGAGGCTTTTGGGGCAGCTCTGCTCTGTCCTTGAAGCAGCTGCAGTTGATTTGAGGTAGGTTGAGTAACCTGACGCTGTCAAGAAGGCAACCTGCTGTGGGTGGAGGGGAAAGCTCTTGCTCACAGGGAGGTAGAAAAAAGTCCATGAAGAGGACCGTCTTGAGCTGCTCATCCCCTGTCCTCGCGCTGTTTCAAGACTTTCTTGAGCTGTGCAGGGAGATGGGGGTCCACAGCCCCTCAGTGCTGGTTGCAGGAGGGTCCCCCAAGGAAAATATTTGGGGTTCCCAAAATGTTATTGCTCCACTCTGGGACAAGACCAGGGCTTGGGAAGGTTGCTGTGACCAATGCCAGCTGGCACAGCCCGTGTTTGCCGGTCCCCGTGGGGGCTCTGTCCTGGGGCTGTTTTGGGCTTCACGTTCAGGCCAAATGCTTCTTCCTGAATCTGAGCACCGTCTCCTAGAAGATATTGGGTCAAACCTGGCAATTCCTCATTTTGAGGAGGTAATGCTCTCTGAGGACACCCTGTTTGGACCAAAGGCTCCCAGCCAGCTCTGGGTTCAGGGTGGAAAGAGGCTGTGAGCCCTTGTGCCTGTGCCAGGGACCTGGACTGCTGGGCTCCTCCTTCAGCTTCTGTGTTACCCTGAGGACTTCCCATCTATAGATCTCACATCCTGCCTGCCAGGGCAAGGATGTGAGATGGTCCTGCCACATGCTGGGCTTTGCAGTCCTTCATGGAGGACACTGTGGTTGCCACAGCAATGTTGACGCTTTGCTGGACAAGACACCTCGGGGGAAAGTAAGGTACCTGCTGGCACACTGGGGTTCAGCGCTTGGCAATCCAACACGTCATTTTCTAGTGAGTAAATAACCTTCTTTGTTTGGAGTGACATTCAGCCAGCCACGTTTTAATGCCATTAATCTGAGACATTGAGGCTCTGCTCTGCTCATCACTGTCTGCATAATAAAAATGCTAAAGCAGCCAGCAAATTATTGGAAATATGGAGCCCAGCAGCAGATAGGCAGGCCCTGGTCATGCTGTGCTGGTGCTTAGTTAAAAAAGGCTTGCTCCCCTCCGACTGGTTTGGCCTGCTTGCTGGCCTTTGCTAACAGCATCCCAGGTCGCGTGGGTGCCCGGAGCCCAGCTCTCCTGTTCCCCGACACCGTAGCCTGTCTGTCACAGCCAGGAGGGTTTCCTTGGGCCACCGGTGAACTGCCCTCTCTGTGCTCCTTGCAGCCAGGGCATGTCCTGGCCTCCTGCTACCCAGCAGGAGCTTCGACTCCTGTGGGGTCACCAAGGCGCCAATTCTGCTCCAAATGCTTCTCGCTGTGAGCTCTCATCCCACGTAACTGCACCGCTCCTTTGGAGTGCTTCGTGCCCCTTTC